GCCCAGAACCCCTCGGCCCAGCGGAGCGCCCTTGCCCCGTCCCCCGGCGGGTCGTCGCGCGTCCTGAGCCCGCGGACCCCGAGGACAGGCGGAGAGGGGTGAACTCGGCAACCGGCCAGAACTGAGGTCCGGCCCCCCGGGTCGTCTGCGTCCCCGATGAGCTACTTGAAGACCAGGCCTCCTCCCCCGAGCGGGATCATCGTAGAGGACAAATCGGTGGGTCGCCCTCTCCCACTCACTAAGGGCGACGTGGAGGCCCCCTTGGACAGGTTAATTTTGTCGAAAAGGCCTTGAGCTCCGTGCAGTCTAAATTTTCCTCCTCCCTTTCCATCCCCTCTCAGCTCTCCCTCCCCCTCCTCCTCAAGAGGAGGATTTAACATGTTTGTGAGTACAAGCTAGCTGCGAGTTCAATGTCACCCCGGCCATCCTTAGCCCCTTCTCTCCCAACTCACCCATCCCCTCAATTCACCTAGTTCCACTTTTACATATGTACCTCGAATAATGTGATGACTGCATTCACTTACCCTTCCTCTCTCTGTTCATCGGCCCCCCTCATCCTTCTCCTTTTCCTACCTTGCTTCCTTGGTACAGGTGGGTCCCCCCTCCCTCCCCCTCACCCGAAGTCATGCCTAAAGACAAAAAGGTTAAAGTCCTGGTTTGGTAAAAACACAAAGATTCTGCTAGGGATTAGTAATGGCTTATTGTGTATATGGATTGTGAAATTTTATTTTTGCTACAATTATTTCATCTTTCAGCAATTGGGATTACGATTAGGGACGTGGTACTGGAAAGATGACACCAAAACCCTCGAATTCAGAAGGTAAATTTTATGCAAAACTTTACTCAAGCTTTTGTAAAGACTTGTGCTTGGGATGAAAAAAGATGAAGCAATAGATAAGAGCATAAAGGATAATGAAACTGGGGTGAAATTCCCCCATCTGAGATGCTCACTGTGCTGCACAGCCTCTGAAAGCTCACTTTCTATCAGTACCATCTCAGCTTCCTAGGAACCAGTTACTGTGTCAGTCACAGGCTGTTTAACCAGCCTTTGAAACCGCTGCAGGTTGAATGGTTTACAGAAAAGGAAAGAGGTTTTAAAGGGCTAGTCGATTTGAGGAAAGTGTAGAGACATATTTTCACACAGCTCAGAAGTGACCAAGATGATTTAAATCCAGGAAGATAATATTTCATTCCACATTTACTTAGCAGGGGTGTTTCTAGAGATTGGAGCTGCTGGGTGGAGCTGGGATGACCCCAAGCTGCTTTTGCCTGATTGGAAATTAATGGCCTTGGCCATTAATGGTTCAAGGATAAACAACACCACTTTGTCTTGTTTAGGATGGTTATATTAAAGGACAGATGGGGCTGGGAAGGTGGCTGGGTGGTAGATTGCTTGCCTTGCATGTATGAAGCCCTGGGTTCAATTCCTCAGCACCACATAAGCAGAAAAATGCCAGAAGTGGCACTGTGGCTCAAGTGGTAGAGCTACTTCAGCTTTGGGTTGAAGAGCTGAGGGACAGCGCCCAGGTGCAGAGTTCAGGCCCATGACCCAAAAAAACCAAAACCAAACAAACAAAAAACAATTTATAAAGAACAGATGGTAAAAAAATATCTGTACATTATAGACATCCAGTAAGAGCTATTGAAATATGTCAAAATGCTTCAGAGATTTGAAGATTTTATTGAATACTTTCTAAATGGTCAGTAGACACTACTCATATTTCTTCCTCTATATCTGTCAACTTTTTTCAGTTATGTAATAAACTGGCATATTCTTATAAAAATTCTAGCAATGCACAACTATACAGATACAGAAGATAGCTCTCTTTTTTGGGAGGGGGGCAGTCCTGGAGCTTAAACTCAGGGCCTAGGCACTGTCCCTGAGCTTCTTTTTTCTTTCTTTTTTTTTGGGGGGGGTCCAGTCGTGGGGTCTGAACTCTGGGCCTGGGCGCTGTCCCTCATCTCTTCAGCTCAAGGCTAGTGCTCTACCACTTGAGCCATAGCGCCACTTCTGGCTTTTTTCTGTTTATGTGGTGCTGAGGAATCGAACCCCGGGCCTCAGGCATGTGAGGCAAGCGCTCTACCACTGAGCCACCTTCCCAGCCTCCCTAAGCTTCTTTTTGTACAAGGCTACTGCTCTACCACTTGAGCCACAGCACCACTTCTAGCTTTTTTCTGTTTATGTAGTACTGAGTGATTAAACCTGGAGCTTCATGCATGCTAGGCAAGCACTCTTTCACTGTGCCACATTCCTCATTCCTTTTTTTTTTCTTGCTTCCACCCCAAGTATTTAAGCACACTCCCATTCATGAACCCATTCCTTGTAGACAACAATAGGGGAAACACCAGAAAGAATGAAAAGCTTAGAAATCATCTACTGCAAACTAGGTGCCAATGGTCTGAAAAGGAAAGAGAAGGTACAAGGGTACCACTGCCTCATGCCTATAATTCTAGCAACTCAGGAGGCTGAGATCTGAGGATCATGGTTCGAGGCCAGCTTGGCAGGAAAATCCATGAGACCCTTATTTCCAATTACCCACTATAAAGCTGGACGGGGAGCAGTGACTCAAATGGTAGAAGGCTGGTCTTGAACAAAAGAAGCTCAGGGATAGCACCCAGAACCAGTATACACACACACACACACACACACACACACGAATGAAAGGGGGGGAGAAAAGGAGCAGGAAAGGAAGAAGGAAAGGAAAAGGAAGGAAAGGAAAGGAAAAGAAGAAGGGGAGGAAAGAGGAGAGAGGTGGAAAGGAAGGGAAGGGAAGAAGGGAGCTTGTATCTAAAAGCTCCTGGCTCCATAACAAATACTAGATACGTTTTTTTTTTTTTTTAATTTTGAGATTTCAAATAGAAATGTTTTGTGAATGGTGGTGGTCTGGAGGCTGCCAAGGCTTATAGGCTGGATGTAAAAGTGAAGCTCTAATCTTCCCCCAGCTAATGGTCCCTAAGGTGATAGATGGGTGCTGCTGTGCACTGCAGAGACACAGACTCTGCTGATCATGTGATTAGTTTCCCCTTGGGAAGGGTTCAAGTTCCTGATTATCTCCATTTCTTTTGCAGCTTTGTACCTGCGATAGAATACAGGGAAAAAGGAAAGAAAGGCAAAGCAATTCACTTTGCTGAAATGGATGGCTCAGCTGCAGAAAGGTGGCTTGACTTCTCATCCATCCAGTGCGGCTGACTGTGCTTCTCGATGGAATCTCTTAAGCCTTTACATATGCTACAGACCCCAGGCACCCTAGACTGAGAGTGCAAAACCCTATCAAAGAAAAAAAAATGCAGAGTTTTGATGCGAATTACAAATAGTCCCTACCAGTGTGTCTCTGTTATAACGGCTATTTTCATTTGTTTATTTCTTGTGCTAGTATTGGGGCTTGAACTCAGGACCTGGGCACTTTGTCACTTAGCTTTTTCACTCAAGGCTGGTGCTCTACCACTGGAGCCACAGCCCCACTTCCAGCTTTTTGCTGGTTTGTTAGAGATGACTTTCACAGATTTTTTTTCTGTCTGGGTTGGCTTTGAACCAGGATTCTCAGATCTCAGCCTACTGAGTAGCTAGAATTATAGTTGTGAACCACTGGCACCTGGCTCACTACTTTCATTTCGTACAGCTTTTTTGTTTTTGTTTATAAATCTGAAACTGGTAACTACATCAGAACTAAATGATTATTCAGTGATTCTGGGTATTGAATCCAGATCCTCACACATGCAAGATAAGTGCTCTACCAGTGAGCTCCATCTGCAGCTCTATACATGATTTAAATGATCTAGTTCAGATGCAGTTTATGCTTACATTTGTATCAGCCAGTATGCATGCCCCCTACCCTGATGTCATAAATATAATGTTCAATGAAGTACATTGTGGAATGATCTATATTCAATGAGGTCCATGCAGAACAGTCATAAACCCCCCTCCTTTTTCTCTCTTTGTTTTTTTTTTGGCCAGTCCTGGGGCTTGAACTTAGGGCCTAGGCTCTGTCTCTGAGCCTCTCTGTGCTCAAGGCTAGTGGTTGCACAGCACCACTTCTGGCTTTTTCTGTTTATGTGATACTGAGGAATCAAACTCAGGACTTCATGCTAGGCAAGTGCTCTACCACAAAGCCATATTCCCAGCCCAAGGATCTCATTATTTTTGAATCCATGCTTCATGCACCTCAGGATAGATTTAGATACAACTAAAATCTTTTCAAACCCTACTAGAGACTGTTATATTCCAAACCAGGTTAACAGATAAAAGGCATCCTTCAAGAGAGGACAAGTCATCAAAAGCCCTGGAGAAGCGAAGCCATCAGGGGCCCGTCACACTGGACGACGTTAAATGTGAGACACTTTCCTCCTCACAGATGCTACTGGATTTTGAACAACCCATCTCTCTAATTGTCTCTCCTCTAATTGTCTGTCTTTTCTCCTTTCAGTTGTTGCTTTACTTTCATTAGAAGCTACTGAGATGCAGCGGATCTGTTCTTTTACCACATTTCTGAGGTAGGTCATGCTTGAACTCTGTATCTCTTTCTTCCCTTTTTCTTTTGCAGTCATTTTTGTCTGATAAGTGATGATAGAATGATGTTTAGAGAAGAAGCTCAAGGTTCCTCTCAGCGCTGGGTCAGGATCCGGGAGAGGCAGTCCGAAGTCATAGAAGCCCCCTAGTCCCAGATCACACAGTGCAGAGAGTACATTGTCGGAGTCCATACAAAGTGCAGTCTAAACATCCAAAGATATATCCAGTTGCTGGGGAGCAGTTTGTCTGCCAGTAATACTTTGTAGATTCACTGAGTACCTATATGACTCAGAGTGTTTCTTTACCTTTCGTAAACATCGGTTCTTCAGCTACAAAATTGGGAAGGAACAGGGTGTCCTTTACATAGCAGTATGTGCCTCGTGAGGCACCTCCACTGTGAGTGTTCCGTGAGCATTGGGTACCCAAGGTATTGGCAGTCCTCCGCATCCTCTGAGCCATTATGCACTCACATGAAGGCTGCCTGTGGTGAACATCTCAGACTGAGCCTGGAAGGCCCTGTTCCACCACAGGAGCAAGGTCATCCTGAGCACAGGGCAGAGCAGGTGGAGGCCATGTCAGAGGAGGAGTCAACAGGCAAATATCCAAATGTTTTTTGTGTGGCATCTCCCATCCTATTGTGGTAGGATGGACTCCCATTTGTCTGTGGTGATAACTAGTTAGCACCCTTTCACAGGCTTCTTCCCTGCCCTGTCTCATTTCTCTACTCCCCAGCTGATTTTTGCAAGGTTATTACCCCATCAACTACCCCATCAACTATTTACCCTCCAGTCTTTGCTTCAGGGTCTGTTCTGGGGAAACCCAACCAAAGACAAGTAGCCATTAATATCTTGAAAAAGAAAAATCCGGCCAAATGCCCATGGCTCACACCTGTAACCCTAGGTCTTCTTGGAAGTTAAGACATGGAGGATTGAGGTGTGAAGCCAGCCCAGGTAGAAAAATATCTGAGACACTCTATCTCTAATTAACCAGCAAAAATGCTAGACTGGAGGCGTGGATCAAGTAAGAGAATGCTAGCAATGAGGAAGGAAGCTGAGTTAATACAAAGCCCTGAGTTCAAGTCCCAGTATTGGCACACCAAAAAAAAGTTTTAAAAAATGACCTATCATTTTAAATCAGTGCAGTGTTTCTGGAAAGCAAGACATACACATTTAATGTGCACAAGCTCTATGTTCTAGCAATTTCACTTCTGTCTGTAATTTTTTTTGCTCAAGGCTGGCTCTCTAGTATTTGAGACATGCCTTTACTTCCATACCTTTACTATTTTAAAATACCTATGCATCAAGAAGAGGACCAGTTAAATAATTTACTATGCAAATGCTATATTCAGCTGTTGAACAGAATAAGGAAGGTTTATACATAAGATTGTAGAAGAGAGTCCATTTGCTCTAACTGGCAAAAGCAAATTGCAAAGGATCATGCCTATAGCAATATACTATTTATTGTCAAGAAAAAACCAAGAGCTTTAAAGGCCTATCTTCACACACATATATGTTGGTAAGAGAGAATGTTATATGTGAATGCCTCTGCTTTTTGCTCTTGTTATTTGAAATAGGGTCTTGTTTTATCTCCCTGTCAGCTTTGAACTATTTTCCTTCTATTTACACTTCCTGTTGTAGCTGGGATGACAGATACATAGGGTTATTCCCAGTTGGTGGTTGAGATATGGAGTCTTGTGAACTTTGTGTCTTCGTTGGCCTCCAACTATCATCCTCTTGATCTCAGCCTTCCCAGTAGCTAAGATTACAGGTGTGAGCCACACCTGGTTTCATTTCAGACTCTTCTTCTTTTTTTTGTTGGTCATGGGGCTTGAACTGTGGGCCTGGATGCTGTCCCTCAACTGTTCAGCTCAAGGCAAGTGCTCTACTACTGGAGCCAAACACCACTTAGAGTTTTCTGGTGGTTAATTGGAGATAAGAATCTCATGGATGTTGTTCCTGCCCAAGTTTGCTTTGAATCATGAGTCTCAGATCTGTTTCCTGAGTAGCTAGGATTATAGGCTTGAGCCATCAGCACCCCTCGATTTTAGACTCTTAATAGTAGTTGTGACATTAATTAATAGAATGATGACAGAGAGGTGGGGGTTTTACTTCATACATCTCTGTGCCTTTTGTTGTTGCTTTTTTTTTTGCAAAGTTCTGGGTCTTGAATTCAGAGCCTGGGCACTGTCCCTGAGCTGCTTTTGTTCAAGGCTAGCACTCTACCACTTGAGCCATAGCACCACTTCTGGCTTTTTCTGTGTATGTGGCACTGAGGAATAAAATCCAGGGCTTCATGCATGTTAGGCAAGCACTCTACCACTAAGCCACATTCCCAGCCCCATTTCTGTGCATTTTTAAGACAATAGAAATATTACTTACATAATAAAAACAACAATAAGCACAATTATTAGAATTTAATGTCTATCTCAAATTTGCTTTTTTAAGGTAAAAATCAGATGTCTTGCATCATCAAGAATTCAGTAGATAGGGATAGGAAGGTAGCTCAGTGGTAGAGCGCTTGCCTTGCATGCCTGAGGCCCTGGGTTCGATTCCTCAGCACCACATAAGCAAAAAGAAAAAAGCCGGAAGTGGCGCTGTGGCTCAAGTGGTAGAGCGCTAGCCTTGAGCTGAAGAGCTGAGGGACAGTGCCCAGGCCCAGAGTTCAGGCCCCACGACCAGACCCAAAAAAAAAAAAAAAAAGAATTCAGAGATAAAATTTTAAATTGTAAATTCTTTTTTTTCTTTCTAATTTCTCCATAGAAATAAGAATCTTGACAGTTTCCTCATGGCATTATTATACTATTTATCTCATTACTTGGAAAAAAACTCACTGGAAAAGAAACCCAAAAGCTATATGGTGTAAGTAAGATTTTGCAGTGTGTTTTAAAGTTTATCATTGACAGTTATCAAGGGTGAAAGGATGCTGGAATTAAAAAAAAAAAACAAAACAGGTATACAGAGGGTTATTTTACATGGGAAGTTTTTGCCTGTCTTTAAAGTCACCGAATGACTCATATGAGTATTATCTAACAAAATATTCTAGCTGAAATAGACCAGTATTGCCCAATAATTAGATTTTGAACTGATGGACAAGGTGCTGTCATTAGCTCTTTTGCTCAAGTCTAGGGCTCTACCACTCGAGCCACAGCTCCACTTCCTGCTTTTTGCTGGTTAATTGGATATAATCATCTCTCAGATTTGTCTGCTGTGGCTGTCTTCTAACCTCAATCCTCAGATCCCAGTCTCCTGAGTAACTAGGATTGCAAGTGTGAGCTGATAGTGTCTAGCTTACTACTTTGATTTCTTAACAAGTTTTGCTGGTTAATTGGAGATGAGAGTCTCTCAGATACGTCTGCCCAGGCTTGGCTTAAAACCTCAATCCTGGATTATTCTTATTTTTTATTTTTGGTCTGGTTGTGGGGCCTGAACTCTGGGCCTGGGTGCTGTCCCTTAGCTCTTCAGCTCAAGGCTAGCGCTCTACCACTTGAGCTACTTCCGGCTTTTTTTTTCCTGCTTATGTGGTGCTGAGGAATTGAACCCAGGGCCTCATGCATGCAAGGCAAGCGCTCTACCACTAGTCACCTTCCCAGCCCTCAATCCTGGATTATAATTGGCTGGGAAGGTGGCTCAGTGGTAGAGCTCTTGCCTTGCATGCATAAGGCCCTGGGTTCAATTCCTCAGTACCACATAAGCAGAAAAAGTCAAAAGTGGCACTGTGGCTCAAGTGGCAAAGCGCTAGCCTTGAGCTGAAGAGCTGAAGGACAGCGCCAGTCCCAGAGTTCAGGCCCCACTACCAACAAAAAAACAAAACAAAAAAAAAATCCTCAGTCCTCAGATTTCACCTTCTTTTTTTCCTTCGGTTGGTCCTGCTGCCTGAACTCTTAGCCTGGGTGCTGTCCCTCAGCTCTTCAGCTCAAGGCTAGGGCTCTACCACTTGAGCTACAGCACCACTTCTGGCCTTTCCTGCTTGTGTGGTGCTGAGGAATCAAACCCAGAGCCTCATGCATGCAAGGCAAGCGCTCTACCACTGAGCTACCTTCCAGCCCCAGATTTTAGCTTCTTGAATAGCTAGGGTTATAGGCATGAACAACTGGCACCCACTGAGATGAATTTTATTTTATTTGCCCCAATGACTCTATTGATTAGCTTTGCAGCAAATGTGTTAATACTAGAAATATAGTAATGAGCTGTTTTACTTTTTTTTTTTTTTGGTCGGTCGTGGAGCCTGAACTCTGAGCCTGGGGGCTGTCCCTCAGCTCTTCAGCTCAAACTAGCGCTCTACCACTGAGCCACCTTCCCAGCCCCCTTTATGTGCTTTTTATGCTTACAAAATTCTTGCTAAAGGACTTGTAAGCATTTAATACAAAAAGCTAAGGTTTTTTTTTTTTTGGGGGGGAGGGATGTTATTAGGGTTTGAACTTAGGACCTTAGCATTTTCTAGGCAGGCACTGCTTTAACCACATTCCTATCGCCTTTTTTACCTTTTTGTTTGTTTGTTTATTTTTGTCAGTTGTGGGGCTTGAACTTTGATCCTCCCAAATTCTTCCTTCTCACATAGTTTAAATTATAGTCACTGAAACTGGCAAGAATTTTTTTTAAATAGTGGGTTTGGTCAAAATGACATCCTACATCATAGTAAAAACTCCAAGGCTTTTTTTGGTGCTACTTGAAAAGAACTTAATATCGTTAGGCAGAGGTGGCTCAGAGACTTACATCCTGAATAAAAATCAGGAAACTTGGGGTGCAGAGCAGAGTGCTGCCTCTCAGACTTGGTGACCTTGTACAAGCCATGGAACTTTCCATGAACGCAGACTGCCCTCCCCAGAACACGTGGAGCCAATCCAATGAGCTTGCTGTTAGGAGTGTGGGGAGAACCATTAATTTGCTGTAGATTTTTTTTTATAAGTGAAAATCTGTGAAGTAGCATTATTTTTATTATTATTTTGTGTATATTGTAGATTTTTTTTAAATGCAAAACTCTTGTGTAAAACCAAGCAGGCTGAGGAACATTTCATGTATAGATAACTGTTTCTGGCAAGTTTTGTGAAGCCCAGATGCCCTTCAGTAGATAAGTGGATCAAAAAAAATGTGGTACCTATACACAATGGAATTTTACACAACTATTAGAAAGAATATTATGTTATTTACAGGGAAATGAGTGGAACTAGAACAAATCATGTTAAGTAAGATAAGCCACTCTCAGAGAGACAAATGGCCCAGAGTTTTTCTCTCATATGTGGAAGCTAGATCTAAAATATACGGAGACATGATAAATCATACAGGACTCTCAGTGAAAGCAAAGGAGGAATACGAAGGCTCACTGCCTACGTGCCTCTGATCATATAAAATATTTATCAAAACGAATTCTAGGAAATGGAAACAAAGAAACAAAAGAACCAAATAAATCATTCAAATGCTGCTTCCTAGGTGAAGCCCTTATAATATACAGCAGGAATGTTATTTCAGGGTGACATTTCACAGCAGGAAAGCGTCAAGTGTGTTCATGGCGACAACCCAGCCAGCTGTGGCTTAAAAGGCCTGAGGGTTCTAAGTATCCCCGAACCAGACCTAGTGGACTTTGATGGCATTTTGGCTTTTTTTTTTTTTTTTTGGTGGGGTCATGGGGCTTGAACTCTGGGCCTGGGCACTGTCCCTCAGCTCTTCAGCTCAAGGCAAGCACTCTTCCACTTGAGCACAGCTCCACTTCAGGTTTTCTGAGTGGTTTATTGGAGATAAGAGGCTCACGGCTTTTCCTGCCTGGGCTGGCTTTGAACTGCGATCCTCAGATCTCAGCCTCCTCAGTAGCTAGGATTACAGGTATGAATCACTGGCACCCAGCTGGCTTGTTATATTTTATGTGGTCATTTCTAACTTGTTGTGTTTTGTTAGGTTTATTGCTAATCTAGTAGAGTTTTGTTTTATATTTTAGTTTATTGCATTTATGCATTGGAGTGAATTGTGAATAGTATTGTTCCCTATTCTACTGCACTGCAGAAACTTTAAAACTCAGGCTTTAGATATGCTGCAGCCTAAGAACAGATTATCTTTTAGCGAGTCCATTTGCAATTCAGTTGGAACTCCATCTGTGTTTTGATAGCAAAGCAATTTCACTATATTTGATGTCAACGTTCCCATAATGGTGGTAGGTAAATGCTTTCCTACTGGCACAGGTAGGCTGAATGCTGGGAACACGCCTGTGTTCAGACATGGTGCACCAAACCTGAAAAGAACACCTTGGCCCTGGGGAAGCAGAGGCAGCAGAGTCTCTGAAGCTGCTTTAGAAACAGGCAGGAAGGTAGCCAGGTGGCTACACAGTGGCTCAAGCCTGTAATCCTAGCTACCTGGGAGGTGATCAGGGGATCATGATTTCAGGCTAGCCTGGGCAAAAGGGTTAATGAGGCTCTGTCTCAACCAACAGCTGGGCACAGTGGCATACCTGTTATACCAGTTACCAGGGAAGCATAATAGTTGGGGTGTGGTAATGTGGGCCTGTTACCCCAGTGACACAAAAAAGCACAAACAGGAGGCTCATAGTCTAGGCCTGCCTGAGCATGAAGCAAGACCCTATCTCAAAAATAATCAACTAGGTAAAGAGCTGGTAGAGTGGCTCAAGTGGTAGATCACCTGCCTTGCAAAACAAGGCCCCGAGTCCAAACTAGTAATTCAACAAAACAAAACCACAGGAGCTTGAGCTACCAGCTACTTTAGCACCCTGTGTACAGTAACTTGTTAGCTGAACTGTTCTGAAGAAGTAGGACTAGTTATATATAACACTGAGGTTATCTAGGTGGCATAAAGTATAGCAATGTGTACACAAGTGAAAATTCACTGTAAAACTTGAGATGCACATTCCAGTGAATGATAATTATCAAGGGACTTGGACAATTTGTTGATATCACTGTTTGAGTAGAACAAATTGATAGCTATGAAGTCTGTTGACTCAGGCGCATTTCTTTCAAAGTAGTTTAGTAAACTGACATTTTTGCTCATAAGTATAGATATTTGCCCCAATTAACCCATAATTTTCTCTTTTCTCCCCCATCCTCCACCCCCAGGGGCCTAGTAGAGAAAAAAGAGTTGGAGCTGGTTTTGAGTAAGTTGGAAGCAGCCCAGAAATACTTGGCAAAGAAATACTGTTCCCTGGTGCTGGGCCTGAGCGTGCCCGACAGGCATCACATGGCCTGTGGAAAGTGAGTCATTTTGTCATCACAGCCTTAGGATCCTCCCCCATTTGACTTCTGGTGCCTGGAGACACTGTTGCCCTTTCTGTTGTTCAGAATAATTGGGCTCAGTGAGAATCTGAGCACGTGTGATGTCTACTTTGGGGAAGCCAAGGGTCTATGGAAGGAATTCCAGAGTCTGGGCTGATAGCTTAAACACTGCTCCCATTGGGAGATTAAATAACTCGATAGCTTAGTGGAATCTTGCACTCAGCTGGGCAACATTTCTACTGCCAGGCAAGGGCAGAGGCAGAGTGACTGCCCATGCTGGGGTGGGGTGGAGGTGGGGGTGCAGTGTCCGCTTATTTTTCAGTTGTGAGGGGTGGCTGCCAAGCTGGGAGTACTGAGTTGACACCAGCGACCTTGCGGTGATCATGTCTACACAGATGTAATTAAGACAGAATAAGAACACTCATCACAGGACCATTTGGGATCACAGCATAGAAAGATCCGGTCCTTAGCCCCAGAAGATCCGATCAGGCTCACAAGCCCACGAGCCACACCATGTTAGAGCCAGAAGCTAAAACCACAACAAACAGCTGGACAAAGAGTTCAGTACACGATGTCCTGACATTTTCAGCAAGCTTACTTATAAGTTGTTGCTGTGTACTTGGCTGTGCTCTGTAGTGCCTATGTGCTTTCTTCCTCTCTTCTGAGTACAGAATCTTTTCATTGCCATTTCCAATGGCAGCGATCATCTCTGTAGTGTGTAGTAGGCCCATTTGCTTAACTGTTCTTTATTTTTTGGTGACCATTTATATGCATCTATTTTTTCTGTTATATAATATGTTTCTATTGAATATCTTTATACAAATCACATGAGCTATTTCCTTATAGCTTACTCAGAATGAATTTACCTAAAGGGCACAAAAGTTCTTTTGGGAGAGGGTTCCTGGTGCTTGAACTCAGGGCCTGATGCCCACTTGGCTTTTTTTTTTTTTTTTTTTTTGCTCAAGACTGATATTGTATCATTTGAGCTACACCAACACTTCTGACTTTTTACTGGTTAACTGGAGACAGAAACTCACAGACCTTTCTGGCTAGGCTGCCTTCAAACTCTGATCCTCATAATCTCTGGCATCCACTGGCATCTGGCATTTATGCAGACTTTTAAATGGACCTGTTAGGTTTGAAATTAGGCAATTGCCTCTGGTTAGCACAGCTCATTCCAAGAAGTACTGGTCACTTTTCTGCAGTGTCATCTGTTTGCCTATTGGATCACAGAGAGAAACATCTTAGGGTTCACTACCCATCATCCACAGACAGAAAAAGCTATAGGGGGAAAATGGAACAAAGTACTCTTACCAGTGAGTTCCTTGGCTCTGGGTATTGTTATGTTCTTGAATCCAGATTGTTCTTGGTGCTCCTTAAGGAAGAAAAGATAAGGATGTTTGTTGCTGATAAGTGGGTATCTGGTTTTAGTATATATCATTATCTCACTTCTTTTCAGTGTGAATTAGCTAACCTGGACAGGTTTTTCTCTGGAATATGTGCATTCTGAATATTGCATAAACACCTTATGTGATTTATCTTTGGGGTTATGCTGAAGTTTGAGTAGAATTGGTCATTTGGGTATTGTTAATATGGTGCTCTCATGTCTCTTGAGAAGTAGGCGAACATGCTTCTTCTTTTTTTTTTTTTTTTGCCGGTCATGGGGCCTGAACTCTGGGTCTGGGCGCTGTCCCTCAGCTCTTCAGCTCAAGACTAGCGCTCTACCACTTGAGCCACAGCGCCGCTTCCGGCTTTTTTCTTTTTGCTTATGTGGTACTGAGGAATCAAACCCAGGGCCTCATGCATGCAAAGCAAGCACTTGCCACCTTCCCAGCCCAAAACTCTGTTTTTTCTTTGTAGTCCTTTTATACTTTCTGTACACACATAGCCTGGATTGTCTTCAGACGTCAGAATTTGATAGAAATTGAGGATGAAGTAGGAAGGCTTTTCCGTACCAACATGTTCAACATTGCTCGAAGGAAGCGTGAAGATGCACAATTGGGAGGAGAAAAGAAACGTATGACTTTGGTACAATTCAGGTATGACCTCTGTTTCCTCCCCTCCCTCTCTACTTCTTGTCTTTTTCTTTTTCTTTTTTTGAGTCTGGTCCTGGGGCCTGAACTCTGGGCCTGGGCGCTGTCCCTCAGCTCTTCAGCTCAAGACTAGCGCTCTACCACTTGAGCCACAGCGCCGCTTCCGGCTTTTTTCTTTTTGCTTATGTGGTGCTGAGGAATCGAACCCAGGGCCTCAGGCATGCAAGGCAAGCGCTCAACCACTGAGCCACCTTCCCAGCCCCTTCTTGTCTTTTTCTATAGCCTCTGCTTACCTCAACCTTGCAAGCCTCCTACTCCAGTCTCCTTGGTAACTGGTACTACAGGCGTATGCCACTGTGTTGAGTTCAGTTAGGACCTGTTGACTTTTCTACAATAAAGAATGCTTGTCAAAAATAGGACATTGTGACCTACATGTTATTCCCCTCCCCCACAGGAGAATGATGGCAAAACGCCCAGCAATTAAAAAAGCCATGGACATGCGCTCTCCAGTCATGTCTACCCTGCTACCATCTCTCAGAGAGAAAGCTCAGCATATCATTGAGAGAAAATACCACTCAGGCACCAAACCCCCCGCCTACGCATCCAAGCATGTGATCAGTCCAGAAGCTGTGCCCATGCCAGTGTGAGTGGCCCAAAGAGAGAAACTGGAGGGTCCTGACTACTGCTGCCTGGGGCAGGGGCCGGGCCGGGGCTCGGGGCCTGTTCCAGTGCCAGAAAGATGAAAGCACCTGTTTCTCCATTGCCCTCCGCCACACTGCCCGCTCTTCTCCACGTAATTTCTGGTGGGAAGGGCAACATACTCTTTAAGGCTGCAAATTTTCTCCCCTTCCTCTTCCCATTCTTCCTCCCCTCCTCTTCCCCTCCTGCTCCCTCCCTCCCTCCCTCTTTCCCCCACCTCTCTCCCTCTTTTTCTTTCCCTCCCTCCCTGACTTCCTTCCTCTCCTCCATTCCCTCTCCCTCCCTCCCTCCCCTCCCTCCCTCCTCTCCTTCCTTCCTTCCTTCTTTCTTTCTTTCTTTCCTTCCTTCCTTTTTTTCTTCTCTCATCATAGTGGAGTTTGGGACACTCTCAAAGCCCAGGCTATGCTTGAACTTGCAGTCCTTTGGCCTCTGCTAGAAAACTGAGGGTTTTCTATAATAATTTTGCAGAATGTGGGGAGAGCTAGAAGAATCTGGTACTGTGGGTTTAGTTTTCAATTTATGTTTAAGACCATTATGGTAGTTCAAGGAAGCAAGTGTAGAATTTTTAAAAAGTGGGTGTATTAGTTTTCACTTTCTTTTTTTTAGAGCTTTATTTTTTTAATAAGTTTTTTACTGTGAAATACTGTACAGAGGAGGAGGGGTTATGAGCAAGGTAATGAGTACATTGTTGTCTCCTCCTTTGTTTTTCCCTACCATCGCTAGTCTTCACTTTCTTACACACACACACACACACACACACACACACACACACACACACCACAGAAGCAACCACACTGTGTACATTCATCTTTGTCCTTGCTGTTCAGCTGTATCAATAATTCTCTTCACAGAGTTGGCATCCTGGGGGAGCCTCGATACATGTTCAACCTGCACACTCTTACCCCCCTTGATCCAGAAGAGAACGTGAAGCCATCGGGAAGAAATGCTTCCCTGATTGAGAGAAATAACATGAAGGTGCAGGACTTCCTGGACACGGCCTTGCACACCCTGTCCTTCCAAAGCCTCAAGTGACGCAGGGCACTCCCCTCTCTCACCTCCCTACCACTGCTGAACTCAACTACTTTTGACCAAATTCATGTAGAACTACTACTAATTATTATTATGAGTAAAATATCTTTAAGCTTGTAAGCTTGTTCAAGTTCTTGTGTAGCCCAAGTTATTTTGTTAAAAGTTCAACAATAGGGCTGGGAAGGTGGCTCCGTGGTAGAGTGCTTGCCTCGCATGCATGAGGCCCTGGGCTTGATTCCTCAGCACCACATTAACAGAAAAATCCAGAAGTGGCACTGTGGCTCAAGTGGTAGAGCACTAGCCTTGAGCTGAAGAGCTCAGGGACAGTGCCCAGGCCCAGAGTTCAGGCCCCATGACCGATGGAAAAAAAAAATTGCTAACCCTTTTTTGCTGTGCTTATTTTTGAGATAGCATCTTGCTTTAGATCCTCAGGCTAGCCTGGACTTCGATCCTCCCAAACTTAGCCATCAGCATATAGGGATGATGGATATGTGGGGCTAGTAAACTTTTTGTCTGGGTTGGCCTCAGAAATTTATCTGATTTCTGCCTCTTGAGTAGCTAGTGAGCTACCACTCCTGGTTTAGTTAGCTAGTGTTCTAACCAAAGCCTTTTGTTCATTTCTAAGTGTATCTTTGCCTATTGGGAAAGCAACTTTGGTACACATGTGATAAAAAATTTCATAAAAGACAAGCTAAAATAGTTTAACATTAAATCTCATAGCTTCATTATTAATGACATTGAGATATAAAAAACCCTTTCACTGAAAAGCTCTTAGCATATATGATCTATTCTTTCATTTATTCATTTTGTAACAAATATGTCTTTGCTTTTCTAAGAGAGAATATGTAAAATATAAGGAACCTATTCTCGGGCTGAAAAGTTGGCTTGGCAGTAGAGTGCTTGCCTCATATGCATATGGGCCTGGGTTTGATTCCTCAGCACCACATAAGCAGAAAAGGCCGGAAGTGGCTCTGTGGCTCAAGTGGTAGAGCACTAGCCCAGGCCTAGAGTTTAGCCCCACAACTGACAAAAAAAAAAAAGAAACCTATTCTCAAACATCTTCAGTGGGTCTCCCAGATATATATACAAGATTTTCAAGCATGAAGAAGTGATATAAACTCCAGGTATAAGGAAGCTCAGACAAGAACAAATGTAGGCCTTGCTTTAACAGTGGTATATTACTTACTAGAAATGTTAGCTATTAAAAAAAATCTGCATTTAACTCAGCTAGGACTGACCATTTCCACCATGTTTCTTTATCCTTATTAAATACATAGAAAACATAAAGCAAGAGATAGTAATGCTATGTGGTAATTAGATGTCTTCCAATTCATAACCTTTTGATAAAGAGGAAGATTGTATATATAGGACTAGACATATACAGATATATATAGAGATATGTAATCATGGATATATGTAGACATAGATCTAGGTATGTTTTCTTATTAAGTTCCAAGTAGATTTTATATAAGATGATCTTATTCATGTTTAGATTTTAATATCTTGCAAATACTTTCCTCAGTTTCATTTTGCTTCAGGTATTTTAAAATATAATAATAAATATATTTTAAAGATTTTTCAAACATAAAGAAGGGTTACTATTTTCTTGTGATGTTTTAGGCTTAGAAATATTGATTTAAACACTAAAAACTTGTTTCCTCATTTTATGTTCTTATTTTGTTATTTAATACATAGCATGTTTTTTTATATAGTGTGATAATGAAATTAAACTTATTTTCTTCATTCAGAAAAAAAAGAAACTTATTCTCAAAGGCATCCAACTCTTCAGTTCATAGTTGCACTGGCTGGCTACCAGAATGCAGTAAGTAATAGGAATGTCAGTGCAGGAGCTGGCCGGGGGCAGGCAGAGCCTTCTCTGTAGCTTCCAGCTCGCCAGGCCAAGCCTTTGCTTCCCAAGAGCATTGCTGTCCCTCCTGTATTTAGAATAAATCCAGCTTTGGTTGTCCAGCAACTGAATCATGGCCTATCCTCAGTATTTCTTTGGATTTGGAAATGAATCTCCATGGTTTCTTCGTAAGAAGGAGTACAGTTCAGATAATCAACTGCAGTTCTTGGAAAGGATTAAAATATGAACTCAGCTCACCACTCACCAACTATCTAGAAGCCAGAAAAGTGTATTTATGGGAAAAGAGGTTTATATAAATACTTCCTTCAGTGACCCACACGATAGAGTTAAGAGCAGCAACTTGTGTAGAGTGGATGATACCAAATTTGGTGGAGTTGCTAACACCCCAGGCAACGAGAACCAAACTCAGTATGACCCTTCCAGTCAGGCCTTGACAAATTAAAAATAGAACACAATTCATGCCACAAATTTGAGATTGGAATTGACTCATAAGATCTGTTGTTTAAAAAAGACTGTCCTAAGCACAAAATCAATCAGCAATGGAGAAGTACTAGGAGACAAAGGAACACAGTGTTAGAATTTTTATCTTAAGACAAGGTCTGCTATGTAGCCAGGAGAGGCCTCAAGCTCCTGATCTTTCTGCCTCAGCCTCCCAAGGATCGGGGTTATAGGCAGGTACTACCATGCCCGGCTAATGCTAGGAATATTAATGAGGAAAAGATAACTAAAACTCCTGAGACCTTTTCCCATATATGACATTGATAAGATCTTAACTGGAGAACATTTGTATCCATTTTTAGGCCTTATAATTTGGATTTGTTGTTGTTGTTGGTTGTGGAACTTGAACTCTGGGCCTGGGTGCTATCCCTGAGCTCTTCAGCTCAAGGCAAGTGCTGTACCACTTGAGCCACAGCACACTTCCAGTTTTCTGGTGGTTAATTAAAGATAAAAGTCTCTTAGACTTTCCTGCCCAGCCTGGCTTTGAACCGCGATCTTCAGGTCTCAGCCACCTGAGTAGCTAGGATTACAGGCGTGAGCCACCGGCACCCAGCTAGAAAATCTTTATTTAAAAAAAAAATGTATAAAGAAATAGGGGTGGCTGGGAAGGTGGCTCAGTGGCAGAGTGCTTGACTTGAATGCATGAAGCCTTGAGTTCGATTCCTCAGTACCACATAAACAGAAAAAGCTGGAAGGGATGCCGTGGCTCAAATAATAGAGCAATAGCCTTGAGCTGAAAAGCTCAGGGACAGTGCCCAGGCCCAGAGTTCAGGCCCCATGACCGACAGAAACAAGAAAAAGAAAAAGAAAAAAGAAAGAAATAGGAGTAACAAGATATGGAGAGGGGAAGATGGAGAAATTAAAAGCTAACTGGAATTACCTACAGAAAGAAAACTCAGAAATAACTGTTCAAGTATTCACACCGAGATGACCAGAAGAATGTTGGATATGTTCTGCTCTCTTGGACTTGAGGACACAGGAAGTTAAGGGCTGAATATGAAAAGATTCAGATTATAGCCGGGCACCAGTGGGTCACGCCTGTAATCCTAGCTACTCAGGAGGCTGAGATCTGAGGATTGCGGTTCAAAGCCAGACCGGGCAGGAAAGACTGTGAGACTCCTATTCCAATAAACCACTAGAAAACCGGAAGTGGCGCTGTAGCTCAAGTGGTAGAGCGCTCGCCTTGAGCTGAAAAGCTGAGGGACAGCGCCCAGGCCCAGAGTTCAAGCCCCATGACCGACAACAACAACAACAAAAAAAATTTCAGATTACACTGAATTCAAAGAAGTGCTGGCTTGGGGCAGCTCAGAGGCCTGGTAACTTAGTGTACAGCATGTGCCGGTCTGCAGTATGTACAGTCTGAATCCAGCCACCTGAGTTCAGGTCCCAGCTCCACCACTTACCCGTGAGCTCTTGCGTAAGTTACTTCGCCTCAAGCTGCCTCAGTTTCCCAATTGGAGAAGCAAGGTTTGTAGGGAGGCTGGTCTGGGGTGCAGTATGGCAAGTGATTATTGAGTTATCACGAAGTATGGAGATTTGCAGGATGGAGTCCCCAGAGGGTTTCCTTGAGACTATTCTGGACATGTGAAAGACTGTCCTAAACATAGGGTTGAATTCCTAGCTCTAATTTAAGTCTGTCAACAACACACCATGTCTATGTTAAACAGCTCCCTGTTTCAGTCATCATTTTAGTCATACTTTCAAAACTGCCTCATTCTATCACATTTTTCTATCACAAAATTAGAAATCTTGCACCCTTCTCCCGGCTGGAGCTGCCTTGCTTGTGGTGTACATAAGTCAGCCACATGGCTGTGTTTCAAATGTGGAGGAGGCTCTGATTTGTTCCTTGGCCTTTGACTCTGACAGCAATATTAACAGTGTTCACAACATACTGTGGATCATACTGACACCTGAGTTCTGTTAGTGATCCACTTTAATGCAGATAAATTCCCTTCAGTTCAACTAACCATTATTGAGAGCCTGTGTTTGGCCCCTAGAAACACAAACAACTTGTCCCTGACTTCAGAGATGTCATAGCCTGGCAAGAAAGAGAAGAAACAGGTACAGTTCTATTAATGTCATGTTATAGATGCCCTATTTCAGATGCAAATGGCTATGGGAACAAAGATCTTCACTGATGATTTTTCATGGGGAAGTCACCAAGGGCCAACAGAAACCCAGATGCGTAGTGGAGGTAGGAGAGCATTAGGGGGGAGGAGTTTGAACTACTGGAGTTGGAACTGGGTCTACTGGAGTTTGAACTCAGGACCTGTACTTGCTAGGCAGGTGCTTTACTGCTTGAACCACATTCCCAGCTTTAGTTATTTTATCAGTTTTTTTTGCCAGTCTTGGGGCTTGAACTCATGGCCTGGGCACTGACCCTGAGCTGTTTTTGTTTTACCACTGAGCAAGGACTCCATTCCAGTGGAGGTTAATTGAAGATAATTTCACAGACTTTCCTGCCCAGGCTGGTTTCAAACTGTGATCCTTAGCAGATCTGAGTAGCTAGGATTACAGATGTGAGCCACTGGTGCCCAGCTGGGTCACTTTTTGCCCAGGCAGGCCCCTCTATGCCTCTCACGTTACTGGGGTGACAGGTGAATGCCACCACATGGGGTTGGAGCGGGGTTTTTTTTTGTCCTGGGACTTGAATTCAAATGTATAACTTAAGACACACTTCCATGTCTAGCTTTTTAATG